GCTGCTCTCAAGTTAGCCCAGAAAAGGGCATGCTTGCTCCTCTCCTTTGGCCACTCCAGGTACGTTCTCTTGGCCATGAGAGCCTTCAGCTTGTGATACCTGGCAGGAATGATGTACGGAGGAATCGGCTCCAGTAAAATGAGGATTAAGCTATCGGAGCTGTCGCTAAATAACTTGTGGTGGGCAAAGTAGAGCTCATAGTGACACCACTCGCTCTGCACAAAGTTGGGAGACAGCACAAAGATCAACTTGTAGCTCCTCTCTATGCAGTCAATGATATTCTCCACGATGCTTTTGCCCGGGATGAAGTCCCTCTCGTGCTGGCACAGCCGCACACAGCCCTCCCCCTTCTCCAAGTTTGGGATCAGCTCATTCGTGACCCACACAGAATCGCGCGCGCTGTACGAAATGAAGGCGTGAAACTGCAGAGCCGCTTCCTGCTCTCTGGGGCAACCGTGCCAAGCCCTCCGCTTCGTCTGCGTCCATTGCCAAGTCATCCGAATGTACCACGGGGCATCAAAGTAGATACACAGAAAGGCCACGATGGCCACCAGCACCAGCGTCACGAGCAGCGCGATCACAAGCAAGAGGGTGGTGTTGCAAGACAGCTCGCTCACGTGGAAGTCCTTCAGCTCGGTTCCGCGCAGGTCATCCGGGTACTGGCACACGTAGGCCTCGGGCCAGCCCCACAGCTTCCCCCCAGACTGCCTCTCCAGGCGGATGAAGGCCCGCAGCTCACAGGAGCACTTGAACGGGTTGTGCCCCGCTCGCAGCTCCCCCACGCGCTGGCAGCTCGCGACAAAGTCCGTCGACGGCGCGAGGATTGAATTCATCTCGATGTTCAGGGCTGCCAGCGCAGGAAAGCTGCTGCAGCCGGGCAGGTCGCTTAGACGGTTCGAAGCCAGATTCAGCTCTCTCAAGGACTCCAGCTCAGCAATCCCTTTGGGCACACTCGCAATCTGGTTGTTCTGTAGATCCAGCCTTTTGATATTGACCGGCAAGCACTCAAACACGGACTCCGTCAGCTGGTTGGAGGATAAGTCCAGCTCCGTCAGGGAGTCGGCCCACTGGCAGTGTTCCTCAGCCCCATC